AGTTGGCTGTACTGACCTACAACTGTAGAGAAACCCCAGGGGGGATGAGAGTTCTCTACCTGTGTGCTCAGTTGGCTGTACTGACCTACAACTGTTTACTAATATTGATAAACTAAAGTTTATGGAATAATCTACTTATAATAAACAAATATGCAGTACGCTCTCGGTATAGTTGATTGCCTATACAGTTAGTAAAGGATTAGTGTACATCATCAGTCATCACTCTATAACCTCGTTGAGAAACCCCAAATAAAAAAATAAATGGTTTTTAAAATTATAAACATTTTTATATATTTCATGCTTTATAAGACAAATCTTGTAAGGGTGGGTACTGTTGGGAATTGGGAATGACCTTTTTTGCATGAAGGCTCACATGAAATAACGCTTACAGTCCCTATAACACCAAAAATGTGGGAGGAGGGGGGGATCAATCCCCATCTGTCCAATAACCTTACCTCCCCTATTTGTAAAAAAGAAATCAACACATAGCGATAAGTAAAATTTGTATTTTAGCTGGTTTTGTGTACTGGTGTTTAACATTCTTAATAAGTTTTTATGACAACAAATGAATTGAGTTTTTGCCACAAACTCAGATTTTCTAATTCCTATAACTTAGCAACCCGTTTTCCTAGACCTTTGATATTTCAAAATATTAATTCTGGTAGATCAAATTCATTTATTCTATTTGGATATTTGGCAACATATATGTATTTAAATTGTTGATTGTATAATGCATTAAAAATTGAACCCAGAATTGGAAAGCAGATCATTTATACCTTTTTAAAGTGTGACATGACCAGAGGTTATATATATTACATACATACTAACATTCGCAGAATCTTTTTAACTATAGGGTTAAAAAGATTTAAAAGTAACATTTTTTTTGTCCATGACATTTTTTTCCAAAAATGATAAAGTTTTAATGGAAAGAGTGAAATCCAAGAAATCGTTTTAAGGACTTGAAAAATATTAAATAAATTCCCATGCATATTGTATGGTGGAACTTTCAAAACATAAATAAATATCAATTTGTCGTTTGACCCTTTGTCGTTTGACCCTGTGTCGTTTGACCCTGTGTCGTTTGACCCTGGGTCGTTTGACCCTTTGTCGGTGAATCATTCATCAGGGTTTGTTTTTCCAATCCTGATGTTAACCACTAACCTTCCCTGGGGTCATTTCACATTTGAGGTCTTACAAAAAATTTTGGACCGATCAGGTCAGTCGTTTTGACGTTTATCGGTTACAAACAAACAATTATACACAAAAGCAAAGTGTAAATATAGATACCTGAAAACGACTCTAGTTGGCTGAACATCAATCGACAGAAAATGTGACCAAAGCTCAGGTTCATGACGCTAAAATAAAATTAACTATACCTTGAGAACCCGCGGCTCTGCCCAGGTTTCTCGTTTAAGTACTCCCGATATTTACCCGCACTTGGACACAGGACAATTTTACCGGGAAACTAAATTTTGGGTAAAAAATTGACCCATTTAACTTAGAATCTCAAAACCAAACATTCCCGTGGATCTCCCGAGTTCCCCAATCAAAAGTTTTCGGCAACTCAGTTAAGCGGTTTCTAGTTATGTTCGGAGATTACAGAGATTACAACTTTATACAGGGTGTCTCAAAAAAAACTGTGCAGTAGGGGTATTAGTAACTGAAGAAACAATTTTCGTTCAATTTTTACGATCAAGGTGTCATTCGAAAGCTCTATATTTCAGTTATTTCATGATGTGAAATTTTTCTTTCTAGGCCTCATACTTTTTTTGTTACAACCAATTATTTGAGCATAAGTCGAAAATCGATTTTCCGGATTTTTCAATTTTTCGATTTTTCATGTCTCATTTTCATTCGTTCATAAAGTATGGAAAAATTTAAAGATTTTCGAAATTTTTTTTTAAATCATAAGCTGTTAGTCTTAGGTTTCATTTTTAACTAAAATTTTGGATCAGCGATTATTACTTTTGAAGCTAGAGCAATCTAAAAATAAAAATATGCATTGAAAAAAAACGAAAAGAGAGCTACGGGTACCTCCGTACGAACCTTGCCCAGACCAAAAAAATAATTTTTTTTTAAAATAATTTTTTTTTAAAATTTTCTTTTTGAAATCAGTTGGTACAATCCACAGCTCGCTATTTCAATCAACTTTTTTATCTAACCTACCAATGCATATTTTTATTTTTAGATTGCTCTAGCTTCAAAAGTAATAATCGCTGATCCAAAATTTTACTTAAAGATGAAACCTAGGACTAACAGCTTATGATTTCAAAAAAAATTTTCGAAAATCTTTAAATTTTTCCATACTTTATGAACGAATGAAAATGAGACATGAAAAATCGAAAAATTGAAAAATCCGAAAAATCGATTTTCGACTTATGCTCAAATAATTGGTTGTAACAAAAAAGTATGAGGCCTAGAAAGAAAAATTTCACATCATGAAATAACTGAAATATAGAGCTTTCGAATGACACCTTGATCGTAAAAATTGAACGAAAATTGTTTCTTCAGTTACTAATACCCCTACTGCACAGTCTTTTTTGAGACACCTTGTATATCATAACTCCACCATGATATGTGATATGGTAAAATAGTTTTTTTCGTACTTGTGCGTAAACTAAAAGTTTATTAGGAGCTACGAAATCGAAGTCGTAGGGGTAAATTTAACCTCCTCCTTATTTATAGTTCACAGTGGAATATTCTTAATTTTCTCTATTATTGTTAAGTTCTGAATATTTAAGTACAGGGTCCCCCACAAAGGATGAGACTTCAGTGGAGACTGTACAGTTTTTATACTTTATGAAACTATTGTGTACTTTATCATTCTTACTCACTTCATCGTAATTTCATGATAAACGCGCTATAAAGTAATCATCGTGCTATAAAGTTAAATAAGCTGAGGCCGAATTTAAAGAATTTGAGCGGCGGCTTAAATTTAAGCCGCGGCTTAAATATGGTTGGTTCCAGTTAAAATTGTATTAAATGTTTCAAGATTTAAGCCGGCGCTGAGTTAAAACCGGGGTTTGACGGATTTAAGCGGCGGCTCTAATTCTTTAAATTCGGCCTCAGTACATTATAGCACGTGTGCTATAAAGTTTGGTTGGTTCCCGGATTTTCTCCAAAATATTTTGGATATTTTCAAAATAATTTTGAAATGAAAATACAATTGAAATCAACTCTTTACTTCTGCTTTGTTTCAAAGCTTATTTGATCTATTGAAGTTCACAAACGTTTCATAAAATTACCTATAACACTATTATTTTGGCACGACATGCTATAAAGTTTTCTGACTTAAATTTTCTCTATATCTCGAAGGTTCTCGCCTTTTTAGATTATATGTTGTCCGTAGCTAAAGATTGGAACAAAATTAAATCTGAAAAGGCTTGAACCTTCTCTAGAAAGAGAAAATGTCTGTCCAAAAACTGTATAACACTGTGAACCAAATAACAGTGTTATTAATAGTTATTCTGTATTTTTATATTCACTGTCCTCTGCAACTGTAAAATGGTTCTTTCTTTGAAAAATCATTAAATAAGCCAATAAAATACTACATTTTAGGCAGAAGACTTAATTTGAACTTGAAAATGTAATATCTTAAGAGCTTTCGGTCGTCTTTGCAGTTTCATCCTTTTGGGGTAACCCTGCATATCATGTCAAATTTAGACGACAATACTGATACGACTTAACTACCTTTTAGCTTCTCTAGTCTTGATATTACGCACAGTATTAGAAAACCAAATTCAAAGAAAGTCAAAACATTTTTGTTCTTCTCTTAGCACTTCAATTTGAAGAGTTGTAATTAGCATTTTAGATTTCAATCTGTTATGCAATTTACTTTAATCTGACGTGGACATTATACAACCTTCAAGCTTTAGGTTTAAAAATCTCATCGAGATAGACTTGTTAAAGGAAATATTGACGGAATATCAAATGATTCTCAATGAAAAAAGATGCAGGTTCAATTCTCTACAGTACACGTTAGCCTCTATTTTAGTCATAATGAGAAAATTATTGTCATTTTTTTCGCTTTGATAGCAAAACCTCAATCGAACAAAATCAATTTTTAGCTCTAAAAACAAGGCTTTCTCAATCACTCTTGAAACTGCGTCTAATAGAATTTAACCTGAAGAATATTCTCGAATAAAGCGCATAGACCAAGAATGGATTGGGGGTGAGAGGATATTTGATGAAGTCGGAACCAGAATCTGAAAAAAAAATAAAAAATTTAAATTTGAAAAATTGCATTTTTCCAGACATTTTGTAATAATCTTTGTAATCTTTAATCTTACAAAATTTAAAAAGTTTCAAGCTGGAACAAAACCCAAACTCATGGTTTTAATATGGCCAATGTGTTTATAACTTTAACCGTAAACTAAACTTAATTTTATCAAAATTATCTGCGAAGATCAATCTAAATAAAAAAATAATTTTAAATAAATAAATTTTAAAATACTGCATTGCAAACAAGGTTACAAACGATATGTTGTGCCTTGACATTGACACTGAGCTAAAGAAATAATCAGAATGATAATCAGAATGATAATCAGAATGATAATCAGAATGATAATCAGAATGATAATCAGAATGATAATCAGAATGATAACCAAAATTATAATAAGAATTATAACCAAAATGATAATCAGAATGATAATCAGAATAATAATCAGAATGATAATCAGAATGATAATCAGAATGATAATCAGAATGATAATCAGAATGATAATCAGAATGATAATCAGAATAATAATCAGAATGATAATCAGAATGATAATGAATGATAATCAGAATGATAATCAGAATGATAATCAGAATGATAATCAGAATGATAATCAGAATGATAATCAGAATGATAATCAGATGATAATCAGAATGATAATAAGAATTATAACCAAAATGATAATCAGAATGATAACCAAAATGATAACCGGAATGATAATCAGAATGATAATCAGAATGATAATCAGAATGATAATCAGAATGATAATCAGAATGATAATCAGAATGATAATCAGATCAGAATGATAATAAGAATGATAATCAGAATAATAATCAGAATGATAATCAGAATGATAATGAATGATAATCAGAATGATAATCAGAATGATAATGAATGATAATCAGAATGATAATCAGAATGATAATCAGAATAATAATCAGAATGATAATCAGAATGATAATGAATGATAATCAGAATGATAATCAGAATGATATTCAGAATGAAAATCAGAATGATAATCAGAATGATAATCAGAATGATAATCAGAATGATAATCAGAATGATAATCAGAATGATAATTAGAATGATAATCAGAATGATAATCAGAATGATAATGATAATCAGAATGATAATGAATGATAATCAGAATGATAATGAATGATAATCAGAATGATAATCAGAATGATAATCAGAATAATAATCAGAATGATAATGAATGATAATCAGAATGATAATCAGAATGATATTCAGAATGAAAATCAGAATGATATCAGAATGATAATCAGAATGATAATCAGAATGATAACCAAAATGATAATCAGAATGATACCAAAATGATAATCAGAATGATAATCAGAATGATAATCAGAATGATAATCAGAATGATACCAAAATGATAATGAGAATGATAATCAGAATGATACCAAAATGATAATGAGAATGATAACCAAAATGAAAGTCATTTCTGATCAGACCTTTATCTATAACTGTTCAAAATTTGAACATTTTTGTTGTTTCACCCTTTCGTTGTAAAAACAGACTGAACTTCATAGAAATCAAAGAAAGACGACATTCATACTTGTACTTACTATACTGAAGGTTTTACCTAAGGTACATAGCTCTGAAGGCGAAGTACAACTGTACAGGGTCAGTGTATACGTAGGAGAAAGGTGCACAGAACATTGACATCCCATGGAACGGAATCACACCGCTAAAATATTAAATTGGAATAAATCAACCCTTGATAACTTATTCTACATTGTTTATACAGTTGGACAAGCAAAGCTGTGAAAAAAGAAGAAGTCCAGATAAAGCTGAACTTATAAAACCTATATTTAAATAGCAAGATTAAAAAGTATCGGCGTCGGTTTACTTTTAAATCAATTTGAGTAAATTTTGAAAACCAACCATAACAAAAATGCAAAATATTTTTTAATATTTTTACCTGGGAGGGTACAGTACTTGGTTTTCACTGAGCCCCCCTCTACCTCTTAAAACTCCTTTGGGGGGGTTAGCTGAGCCGCAAGAGAACATTTCAGCAACCTGAGATAACATTTTTTCTAATAAAAAATATTTCTTGGCAGAAATTTATTTTCCATTGCAAATGATTTTTCTGGTAACCTTTCTGATCTTAGTAATGTTAGTTAAGAAACAAATGAAATATTTTGATGTCCCATTGGACCATGCATGGAAATGCATGATTACGTAATAAATGAAATGATAAATATATTATGTAATGAGTAATGATCAATGTCGCCTATAATTTTGCATATTTTTCTTTTTTCTTTTGTAAAGCTATATATTCAAAAATTCATTTAATTACATTTAAACTACACCATTTATGTATTTATATCTTTGTGTGTGAATAAATCTTTATCATAATACTATCACTGTAAATAATCAACATGTAATTTTGGAAAGAGGAAATATGAACCTCGAAGGGACTGTTAACAGTTTTCTGTTCTGAAAATATATAAATTTGATAAAAATTCGTGCGTTGCCTTTGCTGCATAAAATCAGAATTCTAAGTTCTTTATTTGCAGAGAACAAAATATGAAAATTATTTTATTTCCGACAAAAAACTTTTATTTTGCTCTGAAAAAGGTTAAAATCGTACTTTTTGGGATCGGGAATGAAATATAAAGGGTCAGTGTACTTTACATTAAAAGTCAATTAAAAATATGAAAAAACGTATGTTTCAACCAACCTGGGTATCTCTACTGAAACAAAGCATAGTTTTATAAATCATATCATCAAATATAAAATATTGATCATCATTTGCAGCATTCAACTCAATATCCTAAAAATAAACGTTAACCAATTTTCTCATACTGATATAAAAATATTAGAATGTTCGATACGTCGAATAGTATTCGATTAAGCTCGAAAGTTCGAATTTCAAAAGTTTGAAAAGCATCATTTGTAAGTGTGTAACTCGTGGAAGACGACTGTTAGACCTTTTGTTTTAAATAGAATTAACAAGAAACGCGGCAATTTGAGTGTGTCTAATCACTGTAAGCGTAATTTCAAGTGACCCTAAATGCAAAGATGGCAATGTCTGATTTACAACAGTACTTCTAAAAGCTTTGTCTGATCAAGTATGAATTAGATATGCATGTTTTGTGTATTAAATTATTTAAACTGTTAAAATTTACAGAAACACATTTTGAGTCAGAAAAACGACGTTATCTTCCACATTTTAGATCAGTTAAAGGTTTCCGAAGTACCGTTGTAAATCGGGCACTGTCATCTTTGCATGGAATAGAATGTCACTTGAAATTACGCTTACAGTCCTTTATACATTTCAATTAACTTGTAAGCTTGGTGTAAACCAACACCAAGCATATAAATGTCGTCTTCTTACTCCGCTGTTTTATTGATCCCAAATCCCGATATCTGTTTCAGATTTAGAAATCAAGAAAACTAATCTCTACCTTTATAATGAGTTTGTCCAACATTATATCTGTAGATATTACAGCTTCTCTCAATTCATTGTAGGTCACAATATCTTTCTCTATGATCTCGCATCCTAATACCTAGATACAAAAAATAGAAATATTGACAAATGCTTATAGAATGGTCATGGTGAATGTGCAAACTAACTTTTATATTACTTTTACTTTGAAACTTTAATCCAGTACTCATAGATTAACCATTAAGAATGAGACTGTAAAAACTGTAAAAACTGTAAAATTAAGAGTTCTGCCTTGAATATTGTCTTTAATTGGGTTATAAAATGATTTATCAATGAAAACAAACAAGTGTACAGTTGCACGGATTCATGAATTTCAGGAAATTCTGTACAGTCGTCGCTGATGCCCCATCCTTTGTGTGAAACCCTATACAGAGTGTCCCACGAAACATGACAGTTGGTGAATAGTTTAAAATGTCTTTTTCCATAATTTGTTCAGCTGTTTGATACCAAACATCAATGAAAATATTATATAGGAGTTATGTTATATTAAAATTGATTTCAAAGTAAAATATAATAGGCAAAAGATTTGTTTAACTAAAAATAACTATTTATTAAATGTCATGTTTCGTGGGACACCCTGTATTAAAAATCTATATCTAAGACGACATTATTTTCAGATTTTTCCGAATACGACATTTAAAATTACCTGAGCCCAGACACATCCTCTTAAACTGTTAGGACATCCTCTTTTCAAGTATTCCTTGGAAAATAAATTCGAATTAATTATACTGGCTTTCATAACACTGTGGAATAGGAAGACGACATCGAAGCAATCTAATGCGGATTTCATGCTGTTGTAATGCAAATAATTTTACCAGCGTGAAATTCGACTAGTGAATTTGCTACAGGGTGTCCCACGAAACATGACAGTTTGTGAATAGAAATAGTTAATTCATCATCACTTTTCTTATTCTTCTCTTCTCTTCTAGTCTTTGTTTTTACTATACTATAATAATTAAATTAGTCCCATTTTAAGTAGAAATTGACGATTATAAATGTAAGATCCTTCTCGAAGACTGTTTGAAGGAGGAAATTACCGCTTGTTTCCAGAACTTGGTAGTGAACATCCCCTTAAATATTCTAAAAATTGCAACCAGAGAGCCATCCAGTCTTGTATATTGGTGTAAACTGCCCCAAAATTAAAATTGGGGTGGTATGTTATTTTTTTTCTGTGCGTATATTCATTTTTTATTTTGGTTGTCAGTGGAAATATGGAAAGTAACCTTGGATTTTTAAAAACTTTGTTATTTGTTATTTTTCTTTTTTGCTTAAAGGAACTGTAAACATAGTTAATGACCCCTCTAAAAAAATAAAGGGGTTGAAGTTAGAGGGGATAAATAATGAAGATATTAAAAGGTTTACTATTTTTAAAGATCCTCCAATTAAAATTGTCCACAGTGAATATCGAGATCACTTTGGGACCCTTTGTATTTTTATCTTAGCAACAATAAGATTGATATCCTCTTTTTTATTTCTTACAATCTTCAAATTCTGTTCATTTTCTTCTTTGTTTCTCTGCATAGTTATAAAGAGAAGGTGACTGTAAGATAACAATGGTTGAGTAATATAGAGTCATGTTTTCAGATTAATTATTATTAACTTGTATATTTTCAGGAATATTTCAGTACAAAAGAATATTTTTAACAAAAAGAAAGAATAAAACTTGACTGTTGTTCAAATTGTTTATCATAAATTTAGCCTTTATAGGATTAACAGATTGAAAAATGTTGAATCCATTTTTATCTTTAAGGTTTTTTTTTCATATTTGTTACGTCCTCTTTAGTTAATTATAAATGTTCTATCTCAAAGTAAAGAGTTCATTGTAATTTGTTTGAGGAGAAACCAAAAATTCAAATGAAAAAGTTACGCACTAATCATCAGGATTTTGAATATCTAATGCAAAAGTTCGTAGTATTGGGCAGAAATAATTTAGAATAAAAAGTGGATTATTCACTATCATAAAACACTCAATGAACAACTTTTTTAAATTTGAAAATAATATAATTTGAGATTTACAGACGTGTAAACATAGAAATATAGAACAATTCCATTTGATTAAGTCTTTTCTCTTGGTTTAAAAGGAGAACAGTAGGTGATTTGAGCAACAGGTTCTGTAAAATTGTAGTGGTTTAGTGACAATAAGTTTTGTATGTTCTCCAAAGGAACTGAGTTTTTGCCACAAACTCAAATATTCTTATCCCTATATCTTGGAAACCAAATGTCATAGACCTTAGATATTTCAAACTATTAATTCTGTTAGATCAAATAATCTAAGTTTGAATTATCATAGGTTTATACAGAGATTATGCAGAGATAAAGAAATTATAAAATTTAAGGTTGTGGAAAAAACTCAATTCCTTTATGATTTAAAACTTGAATAAAAATATTCAGAATAAAATATTTTTATATATTTTATTCAACTACAAAGCACGAGATAATACAAATAAAAAAAATCACAATTTACTATGTAGTTTGGACCCGCCTAACCAGAGTAGGTTGTTTTTAATTGGTTGGCCCACTATAAACGAATGAGAATTGCAGATAAAAACAATGCACATTGTACATTTTAAACATAAGAATGATGATAAATTAGGAAAAACAGGATTTTGAAACACAACAAGAGTCAGAATTATTCATAAAAACGTTTTTTGTGTACAATGTAAATTTACAGTTCTAATACCAAAAAATGGGGAAATTCTTTAATTCTTTAGAAAACACCATATTAGAATATGATTCAAATTAAATAATTGAATTTATTAACCTATGTAAAAGCTTTAGTATTTTTATGTTTTTAGGTTTATAAGGGCAGCAATGTTTAATAATCTAAATCAAGTGTTTTATCCCTAAACAATAGATTTCCGGTTTATTTTCAGATTTAAATTGCTTGTTAAAGTACTTAATTACAGAAGTATTGTTGTTCCATGAATAGAAAAAGGATGTAACATATGGAAATTTTTTATCAGATAAAATAATATACTACTGGTCGACTAACTGTCATCAAAACTCTTTGTTAATAATATTTTATTCACATGGTGTTTTATAATCTTGTTAATTTTAAAACTTTAATTTGGATTTTGAAAATTTACATTTACAAAAACAAATACAAAAATGTTTAATTATTTATGTCTTATAAAAGAGGAGTTTCTTCTATGGAAAATCTGTAAAACTTCAATTATAATAATTAACATTCAATGATATCTCTTAGAATAGTTCCTAAATATTTTATTTTGTTTTGATTAATGTACAAATGGTACATTCACATTTACATCTTTAGACAAAGGAACCAAAACACTTGCCTAAAATTATATTCCATTGTCTACAGATACAGATACAGATTACAGAATGCAGGATACAGATTACAGAATGCAGGATACAGAATGTAGAATTCAGAATGCAGAATACAGAATACAGAATAAGAATGCACAAAACAAAATGCACAATACAGAATGCAGAACACAGAATGCAGAATACAGAATACATAATATAAAATACAGAATACAGAACTCAAAATTCAAAATACCAATTCAAAATACCGGATAAGGAACATAGAAGTTTTATTTCTGAATGCAGAAGAAAGAATACAGAATTCAGAATACATAATAAAAAATACAGAATACAGAACTCAAAATAAAGAATTCAGAATACGGGATTATGAATACAGAAGTTAGAATACAGAATGAAGAATACAGAATGCACAATACAGAAGGCAGAATACAGATTACAGAACGCATAATACAGAATGCATTATTCAGAATGCAGAATACAGAATGCAAAATACAGAATGCAGAATTCAGAATGCAGAGTACAGATTACAGAATGCAGAGTACAGATTTCAGAATGCAGAAAAAAAAATACAGAAAAGGAATACAGAATAAGAATGCACAATACAGAATCCAGAATACAGAATGCACAATACAGAATATTCCGTATTTTGTATCTGTGTTCTGTACTCTGTGACTGTATTCTATGTGCTAGATGCAAAGACGATATTTAAAGACTTACCTAAACCAGTCCCTATTAAATCATTTATTAGGATTATTTTCACATTAAAAGACGATCTTCAGTTAATAATAAGCCCCTCTGTAGGTCCTCCGCGTCCCTATAATCTCCCTCAAACTTATACCAAACTCCCCCTTCTCTCTCTCTTCATATTGGTATGAGTGAGCGTTGGTGAGACAGTAAGGAGGGAAGGAGTAGGAGGGTAGGGAGGGGGAGGGAAGGAGTAAGTGTAAAAGCGAAGCCTTTTCTTATGATAAGCGACCTTTTATAAAATTGCTGATATGAATCGCAATTTGACTATTTTTAATGTTTTAGATAAATAAACGAAGTACGACAATAAATCAAATAGTTTCTGATAAGTTTTAAATAAAATGTTATACAAAGAAGAATTCAAGTAGCTTTGGCTCGCCCAAAAACAAACAATGCAGGATTCAAAGGTTAAACCTCTAACAGTTTTTAGGCCTTAAGATATTCGAATTTCTGTTTTATAGTTTAATCAATAAGCCCTGCATTAAATGTTGCCACGCTTTTAATGGCGGACAAAGTATTTCTGAATAAGTTTTAATGTTTCTTTGTTATGAACCGAATTTCTATATTTCACTTTTTGTTCTCAAGTATATATTATTCACGTGTTTAGTTCGTGAGGTTTGAACTTTTGAATGTGTAACTTTTATCCTACCATGAGATTGTTCCTCTCCGTTTCAGGAGTCTTCCAATCCTTCTTAGCTACTTTTGTGAACCATACCCCCTAATGTAACCCTGTTGTAAAGGTCGTCTCCGATAGACTGTACCTCCGTTGAACCCTCCGTCCACCCGCCAAACCAAACATTGCCAAGGATTTTGCATAAATATAAACAATAACCTCATGGAGCTAATAAAACTTTGAGTGCATTAAAAGAACTCATTTAAACATAATTTTCAGTGAATCATTCACAAATAAACAGTGAAATTACTTTAACCAGATAAATATTCATTTCAGAAGAATTAAATTGCTTTAGACTTCAGTTCAAACAACTTTTCGGCCTAACACAGTTTTCTAGATTGTAAGTTTTTCACAACAGTATTTTTTTTTAAAAAAAACCTTTTTTTATTTTATCAGTTCACAACAGTGCCTTTAAACACTTTATTTATCGATTCACAACAGCAATAAAATATGATCCCCAAATCCTGCTAAACCTACTAAACCTAAAATCTCCAATCCTGCTAAACCTACAAAACCTTCAACTGTTTAATCTTTATTAACAATTATTATTTATATGCATGTACGCCAATAACAATTTGTATTTTGTAGGAAACCTCGTTACTGAAATATACATTTTCAAGAAGTTGTTCTCATCTATGTGTGTCTGGTTGAAAAGAGTGTTTCCCTAGCCTATTTGCCTTTTGGATTTGTCATTCTTTGAGTTACATATCCTCTGCTTCAGTTCATCCCGCTTCGAGCAATATTCCTTTTGATCGGCTCACAACTTTATATACATCCTTAACGTTTAGATTTTCGTTTAGATTTTCGTTTAGCTATGTATTTCAGTCCAAGGAAAAATTTTGACAATATTAATCATAGAAATGATTAGTTAGAAAAATAGAATAATTACGAATATAGAACTTAATATATAACAATATTTGAATAAAAGTATAAACAATCTGATTTTACAAATTATATATATATATATCTATCTTTACTTAATACTATTGGATTTCAACCTCTATGAATCAGTTTATGGTGAATAGATAAACGAGAATTACAGATATTGACAAAACGAATAGTTACAAATAAAATGATTTATTACCTAGATTTTCCAATTTGTTTCTTCAAAGATACACTTCAAAATCACTGGGTCATTTTACGATAAATACAGATCTGAGAGCAAAGATTTTGGATTCAAATTCAAACTAACTAACCCGAGTTAGGATCTGTCTTGGCTTTTTATAGTAAACCATGATAGATAGATTGTTCTAGAATGTTCTCGCAAATGCTTAGCTTGTTTTTTGCGCTGCATGGTGGCTTGTTTATTCTAGAACTTTCTTGTGAAAAAGGTGACTCACGTATTCTTTGCGTACATCTTTTCTTCTAGATGGTTCTAGAAGTTTTATTGTTTCTACGATCTTTTACACAGGGATGTTTAGCCTTGAATCTCGATAATTGATGATAGGTACACAGGCTAATTAGTTCCCAGATTCAAGTCCAATTATATATTTATCGTCAATAATTACTTATATAGATAAACATAGTTAGAATTAAAACTTGACATTTTACATAAGAGGAGGGAAGGAGAAGGGGGGAGGGAAGGGAAGGAGTAGGGGGAGGGAAGGAGTAGGGGGAGGGAAGGAGAAGGAGGATAGGGAGGGGGAGGGCTCTAGTCTCTACCTGATTTGGTTTGGATAAATCCGTGCAGAGGGAGAATCCCTGACGTCTTATTGGTCCTCTAATCGAGCCGTTCTCTACGCCTATTGGATGATGTCCAGTATATAAACAAAGATTTAATCATAAAATTAAATGCAAATGTAGTCCTTAGCTGCTGTTTACATTTTTTCAAATGTAAACATTAGCTGCGCTTTTCTTGAATAGATAGATAGATAGATAGATAGATAGATAGATAGATAGATAGATAGATATATAGATAGATAGATAGATAGATAGATAGATAGATAGATAGATATACATAGATAGATAGATAGATAGATAAATAGATAGATAGATTATATATATAGTGTGTTTAGGCTTTTTAGCCTACTAAAATATTTATTGACATAAATCAGAAATTAGGTTCGAAGGCTCCTCTTAACCACAAATGCAAGTTTCAAATATATAAATACATTTCAATCTTCAAAATTGTTAACCCTAAACAATGAGTTTACTCCGTTGTAAGGTCGTCTCTGACCAAGATTTTCTCCGGCAGCCAAACAAAACATTTGACCCCCGATGCACAGTGTAAACAATTTCACGTGCTTCAAATTCAGTTAAAACCCCGTAAAACTAGTGATTTACATATATTTAACTATGGTAGTTCTCACTGCGCATTTCGAGATCACTCCCCCTTTTTAACTCAACAAAAATACAGTTTTAGTAATACTAATATATTAGTATAAAATTGTTTAATGTTTAATTGGGTAACTTACTAGTTGGGTGTGTCTGGGGAAATTAAGGAGTGATTTGAAATCGGAGGAGGTGATCAGGTCATTTTAAAACATTTGGATATTACTTCCGAAAATAAAGCCCAGTTGTAGAAGTAGAATTGGATTTCAGAATTATTCACGGATTGTAGGGTTTAAGTATTCACTAGTTATTATGTTAATATTCAATATGTTTTCTTTTTCATGGGCGGAGGGATGCCGAAATATATTTTAGACTGATCCGAGGGTAAGGGTAGGAAAGTGGGCAGAAGATTTATGTGCAACAATATTGTGTTAAATAGTGCTTCAAGTAGGTACAATCCACGTGAATAGGGAGGTCGTTCATTAAACATTTTTCTCTATATAATATGCGGTTCTACCCTTCAAATAGTCCTATAATATTAAAAAATGTGCTGGGTCCTTTTTCCAAAGATTTTCAAAAATATTTAAATTACAATTTGATTTTTACTTTCTATACAAATTTCGTAGACATAATTTCACATGCTTAATGATAGAAGTGAGGATTTTTCAAAATAAATGACTTAAAGATATTTTTGAATTCTTTTTGAAAATCTTAGGAGTACATTTAGAATACATTTTAAAGGTTGAAAAGGCATTTCAGAGAAAAATCTGTCAAGTTCAGTAGGCTATAGAAAGCCTAAACACACTTTTTTATATATTATATTATTTAACTACATAATATTTTATATAGTTCAGTATTTTTTATCAAAATAATTTTTGTTTTGTTTTTTAAAACCACAAATAAAAATGATAAATTTATATTCGAAAAACCAGGATATTTTTATTTTTTGCTGAGTCCCAGGTTTAAAGGGAACCAGTTTTTAAAAATCTTAGGAAAAGGGACTGAGTATATTAAAAGTACATTTTAAAGGTTAAAAAGGCATTTTAGAGAAACATCTGTCAAGTTCAGTAGGCTAGAAAGCCTAAACACACTTTTTTATATTATATTATTTATCTACGTAATATAATAGTTCAGTATAACGATCAAAATAATTTTTTTATCTTTAAAACCACAAATAAAAATGATAAATGTTTAGTTGAAAATCAATGATATTTTTATTATTTTGCTCAGTCCCAGGTTTAAAGGGAACCATTGTGAGTCGGCCATGAAGAGTACATTGATATGACTTCCACAATCAAAGCATATCAATATGATATCTACAGTGAAGATATCATATTTGACTCTTATGCATCTTTAATGACTCTTGAATTATGTTCAGAGGTAATTTTTAGAGTTTTAGTATCCATTACAAATAAATAAACCTAATGATAATGAAAAATATGTGTTATAATATCTTTAAATTAACAAAATTCTTAATTCAACCAGTTTTGTCTATGAATGGAAGGACCAGACTCTCTTTTGTCTGTGAACTGCAATACCAGACTCTCTTTTGTCTGTGAACTGCAATACCAGACTCTCTTTTGTCTGTGAACTGCAATACCAGACTCATTTTTGTCTGTGAACTGCAATACCAGACTCTCTTTTGTATGTGGACTAGAGTAACAGTCTCTCTTTTGTCTGTGAACTGCAATACCAGACTCTCTTTTGTATGTGGACTAGAGTAACAGTCTCTCTTTTGTCTGTGAACTGCAATACCAGACTCTCTTTTGTCTGTGAACTGCAATACCAGACTCTCTTTTGTATGTGGACTAGAGTAACAGTCTCTCTTTTATCTGTGAACTGCAATACCAGTCTCTCTTTTATCTGTGAACTGCAATACCAGTCTCTCTTTTGTCTGTGAACTGCAATACCAGACTCTCTTTTTTCTGTGAACTGGAGAACAAATTTCTCTTTTGTCTCTGAATTGAAGTTTAAAGCTCATTGTAAAACCAGCCACCAACCAAACCCAAAATCATGATGTAACACAACTTGCGTAGTTTCCCTGTTCAAACATATACGCAATCTTTAGCGTATATATTTTCTCTGGCCGGGTAAACATATTCATACACGCAAACAATCTTTATAGACCCTATTTCCCATACAGGGTGTACCACATCATTTCAGATGGTTTATGGGTCTAAATTTTCGGGACTACTAATTAGAAAGATTAAATCAAATTAAAAAATTTTACAAGCCTACCAAAAAAATCGCATAAAAAGCAATGTTTATAGCTTTCTTTCACAAACAGGGTGTCCCACATAATTTCATATGGTTTATATGTCTAAATTGCGATTTTCGGGACTTCTCAGAAAATTAGAAAGATTAAATCAATTTAAAAAATTGTATAAGCCTAATATATAAGTATTAGGTATTTCAGTGTTACTCTAATATGATATGGGACACGCTGCAGTTTAATAGCACACTTTCCATTCATACATATATTTAACTAATTGTGAAGTTTAATGGGGTCGTCTACGTCAAGTAACCAATCATTTAAAGAGATACAAACCCGATTTACAATTTTATATAAAATACCATAGTGATACTGCATTTTACCTGTATCTGTAAAAAATGATAAAGAATGCCTTGATTTTTTAATCTAAATATTGGATAATTGAAAATGTGATTCTTTATCTAAGTGATTTCATATTCTTTATTGTTAGTTCGATGTGGTGTTATCTTGAGATTATATTTAAGATTTTAAATTGTTTCTTTTCGATTTTGAAAAAATTTTATGGTAGATAAATAGAAAAGAATTTTGCAGATTTGTATGTGTTTCCATATTTCTAGCTTGTATTTAATATTGTGACTCGTATTATGCTGTTTTAAACTAAACATTCTAGAATTTAATTGCTCA